GGCGAAGCATGGCTTTTGGGGGGAGGGGGTGAGGGGGGGCGGGGTCATAATGCCGACATATTCATTTGATTCTACCTTAAGTCACGCATCGCCTGATTCATTATATGGGCGTCTGTGCAAATGTTCTAGTCAGAATTTTTGATGGTCACAGAAATGCCATGCCTACCATGGTTTTTCAGGGGGTGCATGGTTGGAAAGGGTTATTCGTCAGCTTGTACAATGTCATGTCCTAAAACTTTGTCAGGATATCCCAAGAAGGCCTTAGCCAAGTGTCTTTTCTTGGGATCTCCTGAAAAAGGCAACATCCGACATGCCCTAAGTTTTAGGACATGACATTGTACAAGCTGACGAATAGTCCTTTGAACCATGCAACCCCCAGAACAATGGCATGTGTGGCACTTTTGTGACATTCAAGCATTCTGACCCGCAACCCGGTGGCCCGAAACACTACGGGCCAATACCAACGTTTGACCCCCTAAGTAATGGCAAGTTTATACTGGCTTGAGGGCTTAGGCTTTAGGGGCTTAGGGTTTATAGGGATATGGGGGTTTCCCAAAGTTAGGGTTCGCTTTTTTGGAGTGAGGTGCCCATACTAAAGACGATCGTATATTGGGGTCTACATTGGGGTCCTCCTATTTATGGAAACTACCACATATAGGGTTTAGGGTATCACGTACCAATAAAGTGCCTATAGGCAGATATAGGGTTTAGAGTTTAGGGTATCATGTACCAGTGAAGGGTTCATATGCAGATTTAGGATTAAAGCTATCATGCACCAAGAAAGGGTTTTTAGACATATATGGATCTCCAGTATAGCGGTGGGGACAATATTGGAAAATCAAATGGACATTAAATGGAAACTACTGCATAGAGTTTAGGGATGAGGGTTTTCTGGGTTGTACCAAAACCCCTAAACCCTAAACCAATAAGTGCCTCTTCCAACGTGGCGGGTGGGCCGGGGGGCGAGGGGGGCGGGGTTTGGCGGGTTTGAGCTTCAAGGTTTAGGGCCGAGGGTTAGAAGGGTTATTATGCAGCTCAAAGAGATTACAGGTGTACTTGCAAAGTCGTTTTGACCCTGCAAGCAGGGTCCAGTGTGTAGGATTTGTTGTTGCGAGTTGTTTTCGGCTTGTACAGTCTGAGGATTACGTGGCTGTTTAAGGTAGAGGGTCTCCGAATTTGGGGTTCTTGGGTTGAGTAGCTTTGAAGACCTTTGGGGTTAGGGTTTACGAACTTTTGGGATGGTTTGGGACTTCTTTTGGGGTTCGTCCGGCACATACCCTGATCCTCCAAGTGCCAATCAGCAGTATAATCCCATATCCCCCTTGAAGTTGCCCTTAATTTAGGGAAACCTTATAACTCTAGCTCCCATTTCATCTTCCATTTCTTTTCCATGTGTTAGTAGTGGTAAAGGCCTGGCAGACGTGAGCCACGCCGTCGCGGTGGCAGCCTTCGCGGCTGCTGCCTGTGCTGGCGCACGCCGGTCATCTGCCAGGCAGCTGAAGGGGTCTGGGATTGTTTAGGGGTTTAAGTTAAGCGTTTAAGGTTCATTGGCTTAGAGTTAAAGAGTTTAGGGCTTGGGGTTGGGTTTGGATGGAAGGATTCAATACTCAAAGTTTAGGATCCAGCTGCAAAAGGGATCTGTGCAGCTTCCTGCACTTCAAGCCACCTCCTCTGGGTGGCTCTGGGGGAACTTATATTAGATTAAGCTAGCATGATGGGGAAGCCATTGACCATATATCCTCATAAACTGTAAGTTAACGTAAGTTGCTCAACTGCAGCCCAGTTCAATCCAGGCTTTGCTTTTTGAGCGGCTATAGAAGCAGTTTGGGATCTGGTGGACTAGTGGGAGGAGACCAAATAGCCCAGCTTAGACATCCTGACCTCGAGGCTCGGGTTGAGATCTTGGGTTCTGCGGAAAAAGTCAGGGTATGGAGTGTAGGCGGTATAGGGTTAAGGGTTGGAGGGCCAGGGGACTTACTGTAGTAAGTAGGTTAAGAAAGGGGATGGTTGGCGTTGTGATACGGTTGGCAAGGTTATAAGAGTAAGTACCTGTACTAATTCCCTGCAGCCCCATGTAGATGGATTTCCACAGCCTCAGGTTTCCGGCCCTCCTTGTTCTTTCCGAAGACCCAAACAAAAGGGTTAAGGGTTTAAAGCTTTTCATCAAGACCGACCCCTAAAAGTGGTCCAAAGCACGAAGCCCGCAATTCCCCAAAAGCTTTGACAACAAACACGAATGCATGTCTATTGCAGCCGAACGTGTGGAGGTAAGCCCTCCCCAATTCCTGCATACTGCCTCCATGCTTTCCTTAGATTCCTCCAGCGGTACACCATCTTGAGACACCCCAAGCCCTCCCTTTAAGTACATTCCACATCCGAATCCCTGGACCCTATACACTTCCTACATAAAACCATTTACATAATTCTCATATTCCCTTGACCCTATAACTTCCCTACACAAAACCTTTCCATAATACCCATACTCCCGTTGTTGGAAAGGAGACACCTATACCCCCAGCAAAGCCAGGGAGAGGAAGGCTCTGAAAACCAAACTCCGGGCTGTCGCTTCGGTGGAGCGCCCCAGCGTTGCTTCAGTGGAGCGGCCGGAGGTTGCTATCCAGGCATTCTGGCAGTTTGGGGGGGGTTTAGGGTTCTGGGGTTTTGGGGGGTTTAGGGGCTTAGGGGTAGGGTAGGGGGATTTGAGGCAAAGGTTTAGGGTTGAGGGACTACGCAGTTTTGGGGGGTTTGGGAGGATTGTTGTGGGGATGCAGGAGATTTTAATGCGCTACATAGGCCTTCTGGGAGTAGGGTTTATGGATTAGGGGTTAGGGTATACGGGTTATGTTGGGATGATGGAAAATTAAATGGAAACCACTATTCAGGGTTTAGGGTTTAGGGGTCAGGGTGTAGGGTTTTGGGTTGTTGGAGCTTTTCTTTACCATTTGAATTTCCACTGTTCTACCGTGATGCCTGCTCGCTGGCAGAATGGAAGGGAGGATTCGGTCCCTCTTAGTAGACGCTTTTATCCCCAGGCATGTGGTGGCTTGCATTTCCGTTTCCATTCCTTAAACTATAAACCTGAAACATGCGCTTTGTCATTCCAACCAGCTACGCTGCAGTGGTCCCGGGTGGATTTTAGGGGTTATGGGTTAGGGGTTTAGTGGCATGGGTTAGGGGTTTAGTGGCTTGGGGCGTTGGAGATTTTGAGGGGCTGAGGGGCATTTGGAGATTTGGGGTTGACGGCTTAGGCTTATCGGTTGCAAAGTTCAGGCCTAAGTGTTTTGGGTTCAGGGCTACTTGAGCTGACCTTGATAGCAGATGGAAAGGAGGACTACAGATCCACAGGTTTCTCATATTGGGGTATGCCTAAAGCCTAAACAAAGGAGTTCTGGGCTGGTTCGTTCGCAGGGCTTAGGTCCGGAGGATTACGGCCTTTATCAGGCTTCAAGGTTTATAGTGTTCAGTGTTCGCTGATCAGGGCTACATTTTGGAGTTCAGACTCCGACGGAACCTTCTAGTTGCCTTGAACACATGCACGCGAGATCTGGCTTCAAATGCAATATGTATTAGAGGGTTGGTGTTATGTGGGATGCTGGCTGTAGGCTAATTAAAAATCTTGGGCCACAGGCGTTGATAACTACGACGTTGACGAAGTGTGTAGCTCGCGCATGTGTCTCCTTGCACTGCGTTTTGCTTTGGCATGCAACAGTTCAATTCCAAATTAAGACCACATGTTGCAACTGCAGGCATGGCGCAATGTGGGAGTCCAGTGGGGCGTTCACAAGTTCGGCGGTGCGTCCCTCAACGACGCGAAGCTGTAGCTGGGATTGCCAGCATGCGCAGTGTGCCCATGTCTTGGGACCATGTTCCCCTGCCAGGGATCTTTTAATGAGGCTCCGAGCGGTCACAAGGTTGCCTTTTGAAGCATAGCCGTATGAGAGATGTTTCGAAAATTAGGGGTAATTGCTGCAGTTGGGATGGCAGGCGGCTTGCAAAGATACATGCAACTCGATACGCGTGAGGACCTTGCATTTCAATTTCAGGTTCTATTTGGGGTTCAGGATTATATTCTAGATGCAGGGTTGGGCGTCTGAACCCCAATCCCTGAGCCCTGAACCCCCGAGCCGTAGAACCCTATAAAGCCTGAACCAAGGAACAATAAACAGTGTGGTAGTGTTTAGAAGCTTCAGGCCTCGTACTTGGGATCCAAAAAAAGTTATTGCAACTTCTCGGAAGGATGTTTAAGGTTCCATGTGGGAGTTTACCACACACAGCCCCATAGAATCCTACCCCCCCCCCCGCCCAAAGCCATCATCATGTCAACCCAGTGTCCTTAAATGTTTTCCGGTTTGAGAGGCCAAGGTTTTTAGCTCGGCAGTTGGCCAGGGAAAGTTATGGAGCCAGGCAGAGGGCTTTAGGGTTTAGAAGCTTTTGCGCCTCAACAAGCAACAGTTGCTTTTTTCATGAACATCTGAAATTGGGCGCCGATAATTGGGGTATACTGCTGTAAGATGATGATCCCCAAAGAGTGAGGCTTCGTACCAGTCACCTATGATGTTGAGCAAGCCCCACACAATACCATTATTAGGGCCCCTTAGGAAGATAGGCGAATATAGACGTATTTCGGTGGGGCAGAGCAACCGCAAATCCTACGTTGTTTTGATTTCTCTCTAGATGGCTGTGGTTTTCTTATTTCTCAGGTACCAGACCTGTGGTGACTTGCTTATCTCCGAGTCGAAGAAGAACGCTTCGTCGGGCAAGGCTCCAAGCACCAAGTGGGCGATCGCAAAGGGGTATGCTTGCAGATGGGGTTCCACCTTATCTGTTTCAAAGTACTTCGAGACTCACAATACTTCGAGACTTACTACAATCTCTACGAGAAAGCGGACCACTGACTTTTGGAAACCTCAAAGGGGGAGTTGGATTTCGCGTTGACGATTTCTAATTTACTTCTGCAGTTAAGGGAATATGGATTTTCGGTCTCTCTGGGGGGTTAGAGATTGTGGCGAGGAGGTGCACCTCACCCTACTAAATCCCAAGCTTCCTCAGGGCATCCCTATTTGGATAGTCCCTCTTGAATACATAGAATAGGAGGCATATGGGGATCTTTCTTTGATATTAGGCAATTACATATTCTATCTACTTAAGGGAAACTATAGTAACCCTAAACCCTAAATAGTAGTTTCCATTTTCTTTTCCATTATTATTATATAACCCCTAAGGGGCAAGTGCACATTCTATTTACTCGAGCGGGGCTATAAACCCAAACAGCTCTGCACAGGACCAGCCAACAGCCGCCATTGTCTCTGCAGCCGGAGGCATGACAGATCCCCGGCGAAGCAGGTAGGAAACACTCGAGATATAACCAGGTTAATAGCCCATATGGGGGGCGGGGTTCCCGAAATTGAGGATACATTTTGGGGTCCCTATCAGAAATGCAGTATTTGGGGTTCTATGTTCATGTCCGCCTTGCCTCGGGGAATGTTTTATATCCACCTATAGCTGCCATTATTCTAAACCTGGTGTTTTGTAATATGTCTACCTAGCGTACGGTTTGGCGTTTAGGGCTGCGGCATTTTGGAGCTCTGCTCTATTCCACTCAGGTCTCTATTCTCGCAACTCTTCTGGGACGAACCTACATGGTGCATTTCTTCTGGTTCTTCTTCTTCAAACCATATTTCTCTCGCAATGCAGACAGGGTTCAGCGCAAGGTGTTCAGGACCTAGGTCTTGGCTACCTTCGACTTCAGGCTTCCAGATACTCGAAATTCCGAAATGCACCTCGCCCGTTTTCTGCATATGTTGTCATATACTCAATTTCCGAACTGCTGTAGGGTTGCACACTCCAAGCATGGAACAAACAAGAGGGGTACGCGGGGTTCGCAGTCAAAGACTGGGCGAACCTAGACATGTCAATAATATGTAGCAAAACAGAAAGGACTTCAAAGTTTTTCTCGCATTTTGGAGAGGTTGTTTAGGAGTTATTCCGCAGAAGCCCACAGACCAAGCTCGGAGTCTCGTGCAGACTGCTGAAGCCACACTGCCACTGCGCTGTTTGGATTCCGCGTCCCGGGGTTGCCCTTTTTGGGGAGATTTAGCCTTACCTGCGGTTCAGGGTCGAAATGATCTAATGACAGGTGGACCTATAACCCAACCATGTAATTTTGCAGCCCTCCTAAGTCCCATAATACTATTTGAATTGGTTTGTAAGTATGTGCACTGAACTTCAAGCAAGCTGCTTCTGCATTTGTGGAGCGCAAAGCCGAGAAACCCTGGCAACGCGCTTAGCCTTTCCGGCGCTGAAGGGGAAGTGGGGGACAGGTACTATGCATACAGAAATGGGGCTTAGTATTGTGATCCAACCCCCAGGAAGCACCAGAGATGATTGCCTACCCAACCTCAACATACAGAGCCATGTGGCGATTGTATGAGTATTCTTCTGGCTCCTTGTTGGTGCCGATGGGAGATGGAGTCGCGACACGAGCATTCCACATGTTTGCCTTGTGTACAGCAGCCTAGGACATGCTGGTTGGCATCATCAACAGCGCGCTATTTGTCTGCAGAAGCTGCAGTGTGGGGACTTGGAAAGATCAGAGGTCCCTTTGGGGAGTCACTAATTGGAGACGGATTAGCGAGGACCCCGATTTCCAGATAAGGGGCGACTCACCTTTCGGCCCAATACAGCTGCATGCAGAAGAACCCGCCCCCATGTGGCCCGACATAGTTGTGATCGCAGTTCTACAGGGGATCCAGAATTCGTATCCCCAAGGAACACGCGTATCAGAGGATTCATCTCCGCCTCAGAACAAGTATTCCCCTAATCATGACTATATTGGCAATGTTCTTGTATCAAGTTTTGGTTTGAGTATTATCTGGGAGGAGATCATGCCTGCGAAGTGGAAGAAGATCCAGGCACAGAGCAGGAAAGAAAGGGCACCAGACCAGCCAATCATGTAGGGCACGCTCTCAAATTTCAGCTCGGTTTGCGGTCTCCAGAACTGATTTCACAAGTCTTGGAAAGGCAGGGCTCCGCACTCGGCACAGGTTCTTTTGATCCAGCAACAGGCCTGTAGATAATTCCCCGCTCCCACAGTAACCCCAGGGCCGTGAAAAGTACAAGTCCTTCCTCCTAAGACTGATTCGTGCGGCTCGCTTGGGTCTGAGAGCAGACGATCCTCTTGTGACCATTGTTTTGTTAGTTATTCTCCGCGACAGCCTTACAATAGAAACGGTTCATCAGCTGCAATGGATGCAAGTGTCAGCTGAGTCCCAGAATAATCTGAGTAGGTTCATGGTTTAGTTTAATGTTCCCGAAACCACAAACCATTTGTCGGCAACGCCCCATCCAATCTCCCAGTAGAAAATACCGCCCTAGATTCAGAGCAACACATGTTGACCAGATTAGGGGTCAAAGATGACTTGGAAGGCAAAGCATTTTGGGCCAAACGAGCCCTAGAATTAAAGCAAATATTTCCAGACCCCCCAGAAATGGTAAGGTTCATGGTTAAGGTTCATCTAGACATCCTAAGAGTCTTAAAGCTAAAGCTTAAATTTGAAACCTCAGATCCTAAGTGATGAAGGTTTGGCTTAAAGTCAGGAGCTCAGACGATTTGAACAAAGTGCATTGATTAAGTTTTACGTGGGAAAAACTCAATCACGTGGCTACTCTTAAAATGAGAGTAGGAGACCTGGATCTCAGACTTCATTTACTTATTTAGGGTTCAGGGTAAGGGTGTAGGCTTTAGGATACATTGGGCATTACATGCTCAAACGTTGCTTCCGGAGCTACCCCTTATAACGGACCTTGCCTAAGCGGATCTTTCTTCAGATCATAGCGAAACTTCTAGAACTACAGCAACTTGTTCAGGGTCCCTGCTTCGAACGTCTAGCTTCGACTCACCAACCCAGTAGAACCGAGTTAAATCCAATAGATGCGTGACAGTAAGGTCTAATCGAAATTCGTTACACTTTAATCGAGACCTAAATTATATTAAATCAGCTTTAAACCGATGAAACTCTAGTGAAGGCATATAATTCAAACTCAATTCAATCTGCTTCTCCTACTCCTTTAACTCACACTTGCTCTTGCACAAGCTTAACAGTACTACGTTTGCTGAACCTAATTCACTTTCCCACCGGATCAGGGAGTTTTACTTTGTGAACCTCGATGTTCTTCTCGGGGCCCTTTTTAATGAAGAGCACGGTTTGGCCTTCAGCCTTGGGCTGTGGCATGTAAGCTCATCGCTATGATCCTCCTTTTCCTGCTTCCAACTCCTAGACCTGAAATGGCGATTCCGAAGCATGAAGGTCAATTCTTTGCGCGCTCCCGAAAAGTTTGCGCATGCTAGCCTGTTTAAAGATGGCGGACATGAATCGTTTCTTCATGTTATTTGCGCGAGGATGAGCAAGCCCTGCCAGCCCAATTGGAATGATTGTGGGGTTGTGCCCCGAAAGGAGCGATTGGCTCTAAACCCTGGAGGCCCACCGAGAAACCCAAACAAGAACCCCCAACACCCTAAAGCCTAAACCCTAAACCCAACATGTGTATACATATATATATATACATATATCCCCATGTGAATTACCCTTTAAGCGGTCTAACTTCTGAGGCTGACTTCCGTGGAGGAGTCCAGGGAAAAGCTGAAGGCTGCCGCAGACAGGCCGGCGACGAAAGGGTTTCCCAAAATGAGGGCTACCTTCTGGGGGGTCCCCATAAACTTGATGCTTGTAGAGTTATGTTCTGTATGTTCCAAGAACGAGCTTTGGCGCTGACGTTGAACGAGTCGCTGTGAGAGAGAGAGAGAGAGAGTATTTTGGGGTCTGCAATGGGGTCCCTCTCACTTTGGAAGACTGCCACGTAGGGATAGTGCTTAGAGTTTAGGCTTTGGGGATTTGGGGTGCTGAAGGTTTTGTATCCGGGGCGAAAGGTGGGACCCTTTTTTCTGATTTGGGTAGGGCCCCTATATACATGTTCTAGGATGCGACTCTAAATCTCGAACCCAGGGTGAGTTGCCAAGGTACATACAGGAGTCGCTCAGCAAGGATGTTAGTTGGGGTGAGGTAGGGATACAAGATGTTGCAACTTGTACTTACATGGAAACGTTTTGGGAATATGAGTAGTTTTAATTCAGGTTTTGAAGCGTTACGCGCGGAAGTTCAGCATCGAGGGTTGCAGACGGATTTTCATGCGTCTTCTCATAATTCCAAGAGAGCTTGGTAATTCTTAGCGCTGCTTCAGAATAAGCACGAGCGCGTGCTTCTAAGGAACCTACACATATTTATAGATTCTAAGCCATACGCGCAGCGTAAGCAGAACGGCGTCTAGGGACCAAATTAACATGAAACTTCCTATGTAAAGTGGCACTACTCTCCGTAGTGTCTATTTAGGGGTTCCATGTTGGTTTGGAGGAGGGAGGGTTGATGGCTCTATGTTTTCTGGGTCCGGGACATGCAGGCAGCGAGAAGAATCATGCTTCGGGGCGCATGAGGTCTGACACGTAGGTTTGCCGACTAAAAGGAGGGAAGGAGCGCGAAGGTGGTGAGGATCGTGAAGAGTGTTTGACGGGTCATGCTGGTGGTGATGGCCGCATCCAACGCAAATTGGAACTGCATGTGGCCTCCTCTGAAACAGAGCAGTAGCATTGCAATGGACGGATCTTTAAGAGCCCAGAAACCCGAAGCCTGAAGGGATGTTAGCGCCCAAATCCAAAGCTCGGGAGCCATAGTCCTTCCCTGAAGGCAGAAGGCGATTCTGCTGGAGCTGGTTCCAAACCACCCGGAGCTTACAGACAAGGTCATCGCCAACATTGACAAGGAGCCTTCCAAAAACCTCCCAAAGTATGAACTTAGGGAAAATTGCTTGATTTGATTCTTTAGCCCGTTTTAGCCAGCTTCAGCGAATCTTTCGTAGGTAATGGGGTGTGGTCGTTCTGTTGTGTGCCTTGAAGGGAAAGGCTCCACCAGCGCGAAGCATCCAAGGAATGAAGGTAAGACCCCGAAGTCGGACCCCAAATTAGTGCAATGTATCATCCGTGTATACCCCCTACATGGGTTTTGTTGTCCCTCAGAAGTACTCCTTAAACCCTAGAACCCAAGCGAAGATTCGAACCCAAGATCCTGTGACAGGCGGTTGGCTCTAAGAATAATCCCTAAGCCTTCCACCAAAAATTCCTGTCCGATCCAGGGCTCCTAGTTTGTAGTTGCGAAGTTGCGAAATGCATTGCGACAAACTTGGATCAAGGCTGTCCAAACCAATCGGCTTCGGCCGCGACATTGCCTTGGTAAAACTTTCGCTAAACTAACATGGAACTCCAAAAGGGCTCTGTAAATCCCTTGAAATGGACCCATGCTGGTTTCTATGTCAGCTTCTGGGACCTGGGAGGGGCAATCATGTATCATGAGCCCACCAGGACCAGGACGCTGTGGAAGCCATGGCCCTGGCAGCCTCCCAGATGAGGGGAGTCGGGGCCTCAGCAGGGCAAAAATTTAAGATAGTTTAGGGTTTAGGGGTTAGCTTTCTCAAAGCTCTGGCCGCATTTCGTGGGCCCCTCAATAGAGAAGTTGAATATCTTGGGTTATACAACGGGTCCTTCGAATTACGCTGAGTTGCTAGAGTCCGTAGCTCGATTGAGTTATTGGATATGGACCCACGAGGCAGAGGAGCGCCTGCTTCGGAAAAGCATGCAGTTTCATGTTGGAACACTGCTCACAAGTTTCCATTCACGCTCATACTCCCGGCAGCCTGATATTTAGCATTCCTTGCATCCCTCAATCATTCTGCAAAACGTACATCCAGCTAGGAGTAGGGGGGCAGAACATTCTGTAAAACATGCAGCTAGGACTAGAGGGAAGAGCTTAATTGAGTCATCGAGGATTTAATTGAGAGTTATTGAGTAAAGCACTCTAGTTAGGCTACCAGAAATCCTGGGGCTCATCAAAGTATGTACAGTTTGGGGCTGCGGTTTGGTCCATCAGCAGTAGGAGGACTGGGTTACTTTGGGTGATCCTTGCACCCATCAAGCAAACCCCAAAAAAGTCTGGTACTGAAATTTGGGCACCTCTACATTGCGATCGTTATGTCAGGAGTAGGAGAGGGCATAACACCAGGACCCTACCAGCCCCAATTGCTTACAGCTTTGTAGGAATTACCACCTGATTATTACATGTGGCCCATGAATTTGTCGGTAGTTGGGGTTACAGCTACAGGTAAACCCCCATGATCCTAGGTGCCCCCCCAGATGCTCGAGCTAGTTGCGGGCCTTGGTGAGGCCGGAAAAAAGGGGGGATGTGTTTATCGCTCAGGGACTTGTGGTTTGGGTTTGGGGTTTAGGGCTCAAGGGTTGGGAGTTGAAGGTCACAAGGATGGACGGTGGTTCGATGTTTTGGTGAAATTGCAGTGCGTTTTCTGGTGGCGTTATTCAAATCAAGGTTAGTTTTGGTATGTAGCATGCCCGCATTTTGAGAAGGGCCGAGGAGTAGACGTTTTCTGCTAATTTCAAGTGAGACACGACTTCCAAGCCGAGAGCTTTACGCATCAAAATCCCAAAGCCATCTCTCACAGCAATTGCAAAATGACCAGCTATTTCCATCATATAGAGTCCCATGATATACATATTAAATCTCGCTTCCTTCAGGTTTGGTCAGCTCAGACGCTTTCCGCCTACTTGAACTCCACTGGCGTGAGATCTGCAGCTGGGTGCAGCGTTTAGTTACTGGTGGTTAGTAGAAAATGGGGAAATTCATTATATAGGGACCATGTCTTGATCATATTCGCTTATTCCCTATTAACCACCAGGAAGTTTAGGTGTTCAATTGGTGAGGGTGCTTGGTTTCCTGCCCACCTGAAGCAAGGCTCCAGATGCAGCCCAGTCAACAGTGTTATGGACGAAGTAGAACCAGGGGTAAGGCAACGGCCATGAACATACCGGGCCTTCGCATTATTGGCGGGAAGGTAAGCTACGAGCTTCTCTTGAGATTCATCATGATAGCAGTATACAGCCGTAGACCTCTAGAGGTAAGCAGTCAGAGCCCTGGGCAGCAGCTTACAAGCTGCAGGAGCACAAGTGCCCCACTACCTGGGCCACGAAGACAGAGACATCGCCAACGCCATTGCCAGTGCCACCACCGCCGCCCCCACCGCCGCCGCCGCCGCCGCCCCCACTGCCACCACCACCCCCACCCCCACCGCCGCCACCGTCACCTCCACCACCACCACTGCCACCACTGCCGCCCGCAAAAGGAGCAGCAGCAGCAGCTGCTCCCCACTTTCTGCCCGAACTTTCAGACATTCATGCACCAGGGTGGAAGATGCTTCAAACCATAACCAGCTTTGAACTTTATCGCTTGTCGTTGCCCTTTCTAGATTACACAAGTGTGTCATGGTGAGCCTAGGAGTGGATCGATGCCCGGGATGTCTTGATCGTCCCAGATGGGCCCCTGTCAGGACAAGAGAGAATGAGAATTCCGACCAACAGTTGTGGGGCTCAGTCTTGGTTTTTTGTGGGTGTTATCACACCCAGCTTCCATGTCGTGGGCGGGGAAGCTGAAAAGCAACAATGCTCCCACAGTTTTATGACCCCTGCACCAGACGCTGGCACTATGTACTATTTGTTGATGATGATCTTCATTAACCCACAGTCCACTGTGCATAACATATACTTTTCGACGCAGTGGAATTGTGAAGCATATCTGTAGGCCTCCTGTTTGGAGGGTCAGGGTGAGTTGGTGGGTCCTGGTAAGTATAGTTATGCCTTCTATAAGCCACCCAGTAAGCTCAACTATCCCCAGCATCAGCGCACTTACCCATTTCCAAGTATACCCTAAACAAAAAACTCAATAAACCCTCAGCTCAAAGTCTGGAGGACTCGGAGAGAAGGGCACTGCCATGGACACCATTGAGCCCTTTTGGGACGTGCCTCCTTTTATGCTTAAGGGTGCGACAAGTAACGTGGAAAAAAAGGGGACGCATACAGACTTCAGTCCGTGGAAAATCCATGCTTGTGGCATCTCAGGAGCTTTCAACACACCTCAGGGGCATACCCCCCCAAGAAGTTGAAGGGAATAGGGCGTATATTCGGGTACGGTTGATTGGGGTCCTCAAGAGGGATTCTATGGGGCTTGAGCAAGACCCTCCCTGGCCCAGGAGACTGCACACCGCTTGACAGGCTGGTGGGACAAAACTGTGGGAGAGATGCCAGGCTGCAGCACGGTTGCTGTCTTTGGGTTTAGGGTTTAGGATTTAGGCCTGCAACCCGCAAACCTATAGTCCCCCTTAAGTAGATAGAATATGGCTTTGGGTATAGTATAATAAGATCCCCATTTACCCCATATTCTATCTAGTCAAGGGGGAATAGAAACCCAAATCCACCCATCCGCACCTGAAGCACCCTAAACCCAAACCCGTTAAACCCCAAGGCAAACCCCCAAACCCCTGGCATCCTGAACCCTCACCCCCAAGCATCCACACAGCTTTGTGGGAAGTCCCCAGGAGGTAGACCCAGGAGTAGTATATACTATATTATACTACAGCATAATATACTATACTACAACATAATATACGATAATATGATATAGACTCCTAAAGTCTTCCCAGCACAACCTGGGCCCTCTCAGGATTTGGAGTTTGGGTACGAGGAGAAGTTTGGTACCCCCCCAACACTACGAGCTTGTTGCAAATGCTGTAGTCAGAAGATATTTAGGGCCCCGGTTGTGGGGGGCTGGGGTTTACCACAGTCCTCTCGTTATTAGGGCGAGCGTACGGTTGCAGTCTGAGGATGGCTTTGGGTTTACGGTGGGTTTCCAGGTTGAGGGTGATGGCAACTTAACCGCTACACATCCAACACCCCTGAGCCCTGAACTAAGCTAAAGACGGTTTTTGAAAGCCTCTTTGGTGTATAGTAGTTTCCAATTTCTTTTCCATCATCGCTATATAACCCTTATATCATCCCCATATATCCCCTATATCATCCCCATATAAGCCCTCTATCCCAAGCCCTGCAGCGCTGCCAAGCCCTCAATGTTCTAGAAGTGCCGAATGCTGCACGCTAACCCCGGAACCCAGATCCCCAAACCCACCCAAGTGAGTAGTAGTTCATTTGGGGATACTATTGTACCCATCATAGAGTAAGATTATATCCTCCTTTTGGGGTATAGTATCTTATATAAGGAATATTATCTTACTAAGTTCAACCACCAAACAAACACTACTCAAGTCACCTTGCACCTCAAGGGCCGACGCCCCCTTCCTCGTGATCACCGGCTTTGTATGCAGCACCGTGCAGGGGACACTTTGCGATTTACGGTTTTGGGGTTGGGGCGTTGAGGGCGAAGATTGCTTTGGGGTGTGGGGACTGTGTAGGGTACAGGGCCTAGCAGGGGCAGGTGTAAACCGGTTTTGGGTTCACTGGGATCGATTAAGTTTGTAGTGTGCTGCGCCCTTTTACACATAGAGTACTCGTATGTCAGGCTTGACTAGGCCTGAGGGCGCGCCGAATTTAGGCTGCAGGGCCGAGGTCTTTATAAGTATTTTGGCCTCAAACTCAAAAGGACAAGTTTTTCAGGGTTGAAGATTTGAGGCTTGGGCATGAAAGGCTGGATTTCTATCAGGTGATGCGGGGATACTGGGGAAGAGGGGCTCAACATGCAAGAGCCCAAGAATTCTGCACCCACACCCTAAACTTTTGGGCTCCAAACGAGACGCCCACCGAATTGTCGAGAGCCTGGCCGCCTTTTGTTTCTGTGGCTGCGTTCATTCTTTTGAGACGTTTGCACGGTGAACACTCTGTTTTGGACGAGGTTCGTCAGTTCTTCAGCTTTGTCTTTTTTGAGGGTCTTAGCTGTTGGCGATGTCTGTTTTGGAAACGATGTTCTAGCCAGGGCCATCATCAGATGTCAAAAGTCCTGTGCTCCTGTACCAGAACAACCGAACAACCAGAGAGAGAAGGCAGTCCAGCCCCAAAATGTGAGAGGTAGTCAGGCCTTCGGGTACCTGAAAATGATATTGACCTTAAAAGAGGTATATCAGAAAGGGGCGCAAAAAATTAAAGGTAGGTTACAGGCGTTCAGAATGAAGGATTCTTGTCAGTGTCTCCTTGTAGGGGCCCCTTCCAAAATCCGTTTTTGTCTACTATACGCCTTAATAGCCCATGTGCCCATGTCTAACCACCCATATTTGAAGGTAGACCCCATATTACCACCCACATGCCAGAAGAGTCCTGATTCAGCGTCCCTCCTGAAGCCCGATACAGGCAGCGACACCTCATCGGACCCGCCACAGGGCGTAGCAACACCTCACGGGGCTCTTCAGGCTCTTCAACACAACACCAAGACGGTGACGGACCTTTGAATGGTCAAAGATCCCCTCCCCTAAAATTAAACTACCCCACCGCCCCCAATATTAAATACTCCCAATATAATAATACACGATTATGGGGAGCATTTACTGGGGGGTGGGAGGGCTTAATATTAGGGGAAGGGATTAATGGGCTGTAGCATCCCTCATGCTTGGCACTTTGACTCAACCCATTAAGCCGCCCGACTTCCCATCCCCACGGGGATGTTTCTCAACAATGGGATCCCATTTGCCCCCTGTGCGCCCCACACCCAAACTAGATAGATTGACCTTGTCCTACGGACCCCAAAACAGCATCCATAATTCCCAGAAATTCTTACATCCACGTGGCGAGGAGACCAACCACCCTCAAACGGTCCGGCTCCGACACTCGATTGCTCTCATGGTCTGCAAGACAGTGGGCCCTTTTTCTTTCGGATCCTGAAATTCAAGATGCTACGGAACATGAGGGGATGCCTTGTGATTTGTAAAAAATCTCTGCATCTTTTGACTCAGCGGCTTAGGGGATTCTGATAGGACACGTTTTTGCTGAGGGGTTCAGGCTTGGGATCGGAATTTTGCATTGAGCTTGGGATGTGGGGTTCCAGGCATTGGATTCCGTGCGTAAGTCCGTTAAATCACTAAACAGATCCCTAAACTTACGCCTCAGACAGTAGTTCGCGCATGAGCTCCGTAGCCCCTTCCACCGGGACTCATGAGCTCCCTAGCCCCTTTCACCGGGACGCCTGCCGTAAAGCCCAATCGATCGAAGGACTACTCTGCGACGATCTTCGCGAAGATCCTGGATGCCTGCAATGTGACTTTTTGGATCCTATGCTGCATGCCTAGGTACTGTTCAGATTTGGGGCTTTGAACCGAGGATTTCTTAGGGCTTGGGGTTGAGGAACCTAGGGTCTAGGATTTAGCGCGTCTTACGATTTCAGATTCGGGGATGTAGCGGTTACGGTATTGAGTGTATGCTTTTGGAATCTAGGGGCTAAGGAAATGAACAGAGCACTTCATACTGAATGAGTACGGGTAGGGTCGTCATCACACCGGCCGTAGGACCAGGCGCATCTTTTTGATGACTGACGAGATTTCAGTACGTAAAGTCGTTGCGACTTTTTCCTTGAAACACCTTGTAAGATACAAGAAGCCCAACGCCCTTTTGCTGACAAACAAGACCTCCCAGCCTGTCAAAGGAAGAATGTGAGCGGCGTGTACACGGCAGATCCACGACAGGTTGGACCATCTAGTGAATGCGAGTGCACAGCAAATGGGACCCTGAGCTAGGGTCCAGGGTGTATAACCTGCACACGCCCCGTCAAAAAAGGTGTATGACCTGTAAATGACCAAAGAATTTTTGTGCTCCCCTACCTTCTTTCAAGGTACTGAGCAACAGCACATTTGTGTGTGATGGGTTTGGTTTGCTGGTGTTTCCTTTGGCAGCGTCGTCTCGAAGAAGTACCAAATCGCTTTGAGGTTGATTTGAGATACTCTATAACATTACTGTCTTTACTGTACAAGGAGTCTACACAAATTGTATTGGTGGTTATTTAGGCGCCTACAGTATGTACTCCCTGAAACTCAGACCTGTGCCACAAGAGCGAGGCACCTGGATTCCATCACGGGCTCCCTTACCCCCAACCCCCTTGCTACTACCCTCGCTTGAATTCGCTCTTAACTTGAGTTGCTTATGGACATTTTTGAGTTGATTAAGGCTAGTTAAGGGGAACCTAGGCAGCACAGGGTTGGTGGGTAAGGGAACACATCTTAGATTACCCTCTGCAAATTCTTCCGTCTTCTTGGAGAGGACCTGGGGGGACTTGACAAACCTTGGGTTTCCTGCTAGAGTACTCAGACTGGAGCTTTCGTCTAGGGATATGTGTCTTCCCTCCATAGAAGCACAGATCAAGTTTAAATAGCGTCGATTGAACGGCCGGGGTAGCAAGGGGATTCCGAGATGGTGTATTGAATCCCCCCTACGCAGCTAGTCCTTAAGTATCATGGCAGTTTCCAAAATGCAGGGTCCCGTTTTGACGGTCCCAATCATAAGGATAGCAGTATTGAATAGCATTGTGAGGTATATTGCGGGGTGTGTCTTCGAAATCGCCCCCCACCCTGTAGTAGTGGAATGATTGGAGCATAAGAGGGCCCGAACATAATCACCATCATCCCTTATTACAGTCCCTATTGCCGGGTGGGGGGTCCACCCCTTACCCCTGGGTCCCGCATTCTGTTGCCTTGCTGACATCCAAAAGCCCCGGCCAGATCAGCCTAGTTCCTTTGCTCTACAGCTCATATGGGTGGTTGTCAAAATTATGGTCCCTTTTTTGATCCATATAATAATACGGCACCTAATATTTAGGTTACCCAAAAAGGGACCATAATTTTGACAACCATCCATATCCCCCAGAACTCGTTTTGTGGGTGTTACATAATTGTAGTATAATGTACCCCAACATTTTGTTGATTACGAACAGTTTTGAGTGGCAGGTGCCCGAAGCCTTTCCCATCAACTCCATGACCTTCGACGAAGCCATGGTTCTCGCCTCGGGTGTTCAGCGTTTTGGGAGGTTGCAAGGGTTTTTTGGCTTGCGGGTTGTGATCTTTTGCGGTTGGGGGGCTTTACATGTGGCCTGAGGGTCCCTCAAGGTGTTTTTGTTTTGACTGTTTGTGGGTGGTGCACGTGACAAATTTGAGTTCAGTGTTTGTACTCCTCAAAGGAAGTTGCCGTATTTGGCTTTGCCAAGTTCCCGCTTAAAAAAGGAAGGTGCTGTTTGTGAGGGATACCCCACCTAATTCACAGGTATGCTTTAGATGGACCTTTGGCAAGTACTGGCTGGCAGTTGTACAGGATGCTTGTGATGCGTGGGGCGAATTCTGCAGAACGATTGAGGTCAGAATTCGAACCGTTTTTTTGGTGCTGGGCAGCTTCTACATGCATCCGCAGTTGAAGCTTATAAACTTTCAACTTTGCGGGCACATGTCCCAATGCCACTCACAACCAATTCGATCGCTTCCGCCTCCTGCATTTTCACTTGGCACCGCCGCCGCAAACGTCGGTTCTTCTAGGTTATGAGCTGAGGGAGCAGGTCAGCCAGGTGCTCAGGTGTGTCAACTTCTGGCTTAATGTCCAGCAAATCCTGGCCCCGGAAGCAGGCTCTGTGACTTGTTCTTCATATCTCTACACCCATGAATAGTTCCGTTAGAATCTCTCTGAAGCTTGATGAAGCCATATGTGATTCTTGCTTACCCAGTTCTGTAAAACGTGCATGAAGCCCAGAAAATCGATGTAAGAATTCCGTCTGATCGCAGGGACTCCTTCCCTGGAGTCAGTAAGTAGCTTAGCAATCCAATGTACATTATGTGGCTTATAGAGGTTCTCCCCTGACTTTCCTTGCAAGTGTTGAAGCCCGGTGCAAAATCCTCTTCTCAGTTGCGACAAACAAGAACCCTATACTACCCCAAACTCTACCGCATACCTTGCGTTCTGCTTCGGTGGTTCGAGTCATGAAGCTTGTCAGGACTGTGGGTGTTTACCGATCTGAAGGACTCCCTAAACCCCAAACCCATTAGGACCCTAATAGGACTGTAGTGCCNNCCCCCCCCCCCCCCTTTTTATGGAAATGCAGCAGAACAGGGCACCTCCAGCTCTGTGCTAAGGAGCTTGCCTACTTTGGCGGGCAGGCTGGACAGGTTTTGAGTTTGGAGTTGCTCAGAAGGATGCCTATGCAATCCCCTAAGGGGGACCCAGCACTCTCTGTGCATTTTGGATTCCCTCAAGCTATTGCAATTGGAAAGCGATTAACAAATAAGATATAATAAGATTTATGCCCTTCCCTCAAATTACTGTACCCCTCACGGACCCGCTTACTGACGTCAGCAAGCCTCTAAGGGCCATTTGGAGTTCTGGGTTTGTCCTGGTAAGTCTGGGGCGAACAGGGGTTCAGGAGCCTTCAAGGTTCAGGGCTTTGGCTTAAGGATTCGTCCTTCAGGATGGGACCTTCTCGAAAACTGGTAACCCCTTCCTTGCAGCAATGCAAATGCTCTCTCCTACAAGATCATGATCCGCTTCACAGAAAGATCTGCGCATACGAGCAAGTTCAGCAACAAAACCAAGGTGGACGTTGCCAGTTGTTGCCAGAAGCGATATGTCTTCTATAGCGGCCTGACACACATACAAAGAGATTATTTGGTACCACCCACATGCAGACAGGTGGTATAAAGACTATTGCCCACACACGCGCTTCACGGGAACTGTTCCCCCCCAAAAAAACGGCAACACCTCGGCTGTTCCATTCTGATTGGTTCTAGAGAACACTAGATCCTGGTGATGGTAGGCCCACACATGCGGACAAGACCGCTTTTTAAGGTGCTTATACTTTTGCAACCATGCCGGGAGAACACGGGAAAAGGAGTAGTAATTCTTCTTCAGTTGTTTCAGAGTACAGTTGTTCCAGTTTGGAGTAAGGATCTATCTTCTGAAGTTTGATCTCTTTTCGGGGGAGACATGCTACGTCCTAAGCCATGGCATCAAGGCAGGAACCACCGCTTCCAGTAGTAATCGTCTCGCCATGGGATGTGTTTTTGGCGACTTCGACCTCACCTGGTCAATTTGGGGAACTCTGGGGAGACTGGCTTAGGCTTAAGTATGGAGGGCATGTACAAGATCTTATGACAGTATCTGAGTTAGGGATCTGGCTCTTGCCTCTGCAGGTTTTGTCCAACTTCTTGGCGGAGAGCTTCTCAAATAAGAGGACTTGGTCGCCCCGAACCCTACAATTACCGCCTTGTCAGACTGATGTGATCGTCATAGGGTCCTTCGTGTTGGGTGGTTGGGGCAACCAAAATCCAATAATTATTCCCAGGCATTCCTGCAAACCCACATTTGCCATCATGAACCCTAGATGAGGACTCAAGACAGCCCTGTTGGACTCGTTTTTAACGACCTATGATCCCAACACCCAGGTGGGAACATCTAAAAGACATAGCTTACGATATGACCCCTGCATAGGAACAGTAAACCTGGGTTGGCTTTGGGCACTTATGGTCCCCCTTAAGTAGATAGAATATGGGGTAGATGAGGATCTTATTAAGATATACCCAAAGCCATATTCTATCTACTTAAGGGGGACTGTAGGTATATCAGTTCGCCGCCAGCGGATGGAAATTACCTTATCACTTCTGTCTAAGCTTGTCAAAGGGGTTCTACCACGAACGAGCGCAGCCCCGAAGGCCCTAAATAGAGGCTAAGCCTTTAAACCCTGAACCCTGCCCACCCGAAACCCTTCAAAGGCCTTTTAAACCCGGAATGCTTAAGCCCTTATGGCATCAAAGCCTTAGTCCTGAAACCCGATATCTCTAGAGCCCTGAACCCCGAGTTCCCGAAACCCTGCACTCCAAAAAAACCCTAAGCCCCAACATCCTGAACTCTGCATGGTATTTCCAAATAGAGGGTCAACCCTTAAAGGCCCCAAATTGCTAGCAACCCTTTTTTATGGTGGCTCCAAAAGATGGACTGCCCCAGCTTTGAAAACCTTAATCCCTAAACCTTATGCCTGGTGCAAGTGCAAAGCCTTGTACCTCTCTATAAGGCCCCCTGAACCCTTTACTTTCAAGGGACTACTATAGCCCCAGTTGTAGGAAGTGCCTGAACACGAATTGAGAGGTGCTCCACCCTTCGGCGATGGTCCCTTGCATCGAAAATCGGATTCCCGTATCGTGGCTTTGAATGTCATGTGCATAAGGACCAGGGTTCAGGGTTGAAGGTGTAGGGGTGTATATAATGAGGACCAAATGGAAAATGAAGCGGACACTGGGGCTATGTAGGAGTTATATAGTATTGCTCATCGAGAGATTAGAGTCCCCAATATACATTGAGATTACGTACATGCTTCTCTTTATATAGGGTCTTTTTGGGTAGAGTCCTTATCGTACTTGATTCAACCACCCAAAAAGCACTACTCATGAGGTGTTTTCGTCTGTGTGGGTGGGGAGTTCTTTGTAGTCATGTGCCCCGTGGAAATGTTTACAGCCTGGAGACTACATCATAATTTCAGACGTGAGGTACCTGTCCTCTTCAGTCTCGGGATCAGCCCAATACTGGGATTTAGTTCTTACAGGGGTTCTCACATTCAGGAGGTACGTTACGGGGTGGTATGCAGTGGGACCTTGCATACTACTGTAGCTTATCAGCCACAGCATGCCCTGCATATGACTATGATGCAATTCCCAGGCCAGTCTTCCAAGTAGATGTTGCTGTTCACGCTTGTGATGGATTCTGTGTATGTGTACTTGGTCGGACGTCAGGACGGACTGCACTGAAAGCACTTCGATCGCTTGCCCGGCCAAGCCAAATGAGACCCTCCATTTAGCTCCAGATGTGTGTGAAGAGATCTTCGTGCTTGACATGGGGCCCGACAACCCCAACCGTTAAATCTTTCAGCAGCCTTCCTGTTGGTGGGAGGGTCACGGGTAGCTATAAGTAGGCTTTCATAGTACCCAGGTACTCAACTCAGGTTATAGCCCTTGCTTAGACCCACTGAGAGCCTGCAAGCTGGGCTTGCAATTCAGCAATCCAGGCTCCTTTCAGAAAAGAGGTGGAAGGCTCCACTACGGACCAGAACCTACCCTGCCGGGATTCCTCTGAACCCTTAGACCTTAAGTCCTGGACCCCTTCTCACATCTAAACTCGAGACTCTCCAACTTGAAGCCCTTATCCCCTGAACTTAACCCAAATGGCTCAGGTGCTTGTGAAGCGACCTGGCTGGAGCTATAGCCTAAGGCACTAAGTAATGGGGTTAGGTCCAGGTGCCGGTAGCTTTCGCGTCATGGTGCTACGGCCTGCGACGGCCTGCGCGCTGCATGTTAGTAATTTGTCATGAGGGCACGAAGGAATTGAAAAGAAAATGGAAGCTACCATATTACTTGGGAGGATAGGTTTTAAGGGCTACTTCAGGAACGGCCCACAATTTCTTAATGCTGCACGGCCCAAAGTCAGGCAGCAACTTTTGTTAATGGAAAGTTTGGGTCCATTTCCAAACTATTCCAGGCTAAGTTAGACCTTCCTATAAAAAAATAGAAAGCACCCCAGATGACCTTTAAAACTCGTGTTGGGAGCTCTGGCTGCAGCAAAGGATCCTCCCCAACTGCCTTACTTGTTGTTATAGTCCTTCTTAAGTAGATAGAATATAGCTTTGGGTATGTGAAAAAAGATCCCCATATACCTCATACTCTACCTACTTAGGGGGGACTATACTTGTTGTTAGTTGGGAATGGAGGAAGGGATTCCCATAGTTCGAGATCATCCCCACTAATATGGCAGTTTTCATGTTCGTTTCCCATCCTCCATTCCCGACTAATAACCAGCAAGCTGAATGCATGAAACCTGTGGGAACCTTCGTAATATTATGATGCCGCTCAAGCTTTCGTAATGTGTCACTGAAGCCGTGCTTGAAGCGCGTTCCAGGAGGCCGATGGACATCAAACAACTGATATGTCCAGTCTGGAGCACTTCATGCCACTTATGTTGCCGTGAAGCTGTTTAGGGTTTAGGGTAGGGGGGTGACTTAGAATGTTCCATTGCCTCTTGCGCGCCTTTGCAGAATTTGCTTTGACTGCAGCTCGCATAAGAATTTGATATGTCCTGACGCCTATCATGCGTTCCTTCCCCCCTGCGGCTACATTCCGTGAAGAAATGCTCGTCATGTGGACCCCCCACCCAGCAATAGTGGTATAGTAGACATATAAGAGGCCCCCAATCATTCCTAATAGTCACTATTACAGGCTGGGGCGTCCACATAAGCCCTACACGCTAAACCCTAAACCCTACGATTTCAGGAATGTGTTTGATCCAGCACATCCTGGAACTCGCACCTTGGAGCCAAGTGAAGTTCTCACGGGTTCTTCCCTGTGAAGCTGCGAGGTGGGGGGGTTGTTCTACAGGTCATTTTGAAGGGGGGACCATTGGGAGATATTGGGAGTATATTTCCTTAAGAGGAGATCCCAACCATTTTGAAGATATGTCTTTAAAGCGACTACCAGTTCTTCTGGCTTGAGGTTGCTCAGGAGTGAAGCTGCCGGCAATGATGAGGAAGAATCCTCTTTCTTGTCGAAGGCCCAGAAGAAGTGGCGCCCTAGACGCGTGAGTCTGCTAAGAGTCCAAACATGTGGCTGCCATTCCTATTATGTCAAGCCGGAAGCCCCTTCCTGAAAACCTCAGACCTTCCAGCATCTGAAGCCCTAAGTGGCTAAGTGGCATTTCGCAAAATTTGGGTGGGTGCTGCATATACTCCCGAACCAGCATAGAGCTCGTCAAAAAAGATGCGAGCAGATCCGAATATCGAGAAAGCAAAGCCTTCAATAGCCCAACCCTTCCATGATCCTGAGAAGCCCGCTGTCACCCTTTCATATGATATGGCCTTGGGGAGAACGTTTTTAGGCTCAAAAACCTTGAATCCCCTAGCTTGAAACCTTGAATGCCGATCTTGATGGCAATTCTCGCAAGCGCTAAGCCCCAACTTCAGAACCCAACGCCCTTTCGCTACAAATTTACCCTAAATCGTAGCCTCCATTTTCTTTTTTCCATTATCCCTATATTCTCTATAACCCCTATGTAATCTTTAAATCCTGAACCCGAGCCGCAACCGGGGTCCACCAGCCCAGGAGTCTATGGCCGTGGGGATTCTTTCCTCCGATGGGATGACCAGGTGGATGAGACTCGGCCTAGTGTGGGCGCCTACTTGTTCATGGAGTTGGCTTCGAGTCGCCAAATTGTCTAGGATAATCACAGGGGTGAGGTAGCCCGCTTGTCCAGATTCAGGCCACCTAGTCGTTTCACTTATGGTTTGGGGTTGCCTTGCGTAGGATACCAAAGGCATCAACAAATAGTGTTATCATGCTTTACCAGGTGTCCCTACCCCATGATGTCTTTATGAGGGCGAGGGTGCCAACTGAAGATTGAAAACCCTTGCAGCAGCCCTAGTCAATAATATTACGCATCCTGCATGAGGTTACCATCCTGAACTACCAGAGTTGCCAGGCTTTATGCTTAGCTAGGTCATGCAGACTGTTAATATCAACAATAAACGCAACCTCAGAACTATCCATGCAAATTCGGATGCAATCCACAAACGCTCCTCCCTTTTTGAAAAATGCTAAAGTGGTGACCTCTTTCTAACATTCCTCCTTGGGCACTTCCAATGTACGTAACTTGTTTGAGCAGTTGAGGTGTAAGGTTGGGTCATCCCCCTTGCAGGAACTGCCCTACAAGGGTCCTATTAAGGGGCCCATATAACTCCCATGAGAACCTTTGCATAGAAACAGCGCCCTTGTAGAACTTCTGGAAAGGCAATACCCATACCTCAGCAAACCTCAGATCTCTTTGGTGACCTACAATCATCCCCCTAACGCTTCCAAGAACCATCCCTTTGATTTTTTTTTATAAACACACGGCAGCCTTGTCAACCCGCTCCTTGTTGCCTGAAGCCGTGCGCAAGTCAAGGAATGGGATGACCAAATGCCAGTGAAGGCGATTACGTCCATCGAGAAGGTGCCTCTTCTGCAAGGTAAATTCACCGGGGGCTAGGGATTAGGGAAAGATGGCATATGGACATTAGCCATAGATAACACCTCCATAGTATGAAGCCCAGAAAAATCGATGTGCAGGGAGTCTGAAGGGCAGAAGTTCGGGGCCTGGGGTTGTGGTGGTTGGAGGTTGGGATATGAGTCATGAGGCTACTGGTCTAGAGGCCTGCGGAGTCAGATCATAAAGCCACGGAGCCCCGCTGAATTCTCACACAGTGGGGGTTCATTCTTCATGCCACGGCATACAAGACTGTTGACCAACACTCTAAACCCTAAACCCCAAATAGTAGCTTCCATTTTCTTTTCCATTATCCTCAAATCACCCCTATACACCCCTAATTCTGGGAACTACCCAAGTGAAATCAGATTTGAACTGGGGATGACGATTTATCAGTCTGCGAGCCCCGCACGAAAACAGCAAGATCACGGCAATGAGGACACCTACACGAGCTGATAATTGTGCTTGACAAGCAGGCGTTAGGACCTCTCACCCTGAGTTAGAGCTCTAAGTTTGGCTGTTGTGCATTTTCCAAAAAAAGGATAGGGCCCCTGCGCGGGGTCCGGAGGAAGGAAGCTCGATAATTCGAGCGGGGCTGTTTATGGAACACCCCCCCATAGTAGGCTCTAAAGAGAACACAGGTGAGCACAAATTGAATATGGTATAAAGTAGTCCCTAGCAGAAGGAAATTTATATGGGTTTCGTTTGGGGGAACTTGTCTGTAAGAGGGCCCCTTGTTAGATTCCAAGTTTACTTCCAGAGGGTTGTAGACTCGCCGCAGACTCAGCGAGATCAGCCTTCGCTTAAACTCTTGGTTTTGAAAAACGGTGTGCCGTCCTAAGGTTTTTGAGTCGGATCCACAGAGTTCAGCGTACAGTGCTCAGCCGCGGTACATACCGGGCTAACTGCACGCTAAAACCGTACTCATTCTTCCCGCAAACTGATAGTCGCGTTTGGTCTGGTGCTGCTTGTATGAGACCCAGAGGCTCATGTTTGCTGTGCATGTATACACAACCTTATAGATAGAGTAGGCTGAAAAAACAGCAGCCTCACATCGGAGCTTCTCCAAAATTCTGCCAACCCAATCGAGATCCCAGTGACCTGGAAGGTCCCGAAGAATCTCGACATGTTGACCAGACCCAAAGGTGAGTTTCGACCTTAGACCAGTAACCCAGAGGTGAGCCTTATCACCATTGCGGGGACCTCCTTCATGGGCACGCCGTTTGTCTGAAGAAGCTTCCACCCTTAGAAGCAACATCGGGATTCCAGAAAGTTAGGATTTGGGATTTAGGGTTAGGCCTTAGGGCTCTTTTTGGGGAGCAAGTGCAACAAGTGCTTGCAATACTGAGGCGGAGACATTCGGGACCCTATGTGTGCAACCACCAGATGCCGCGCATGCATGTGCCCTTTGAGTTTTGGGTGTGCTTTCTGTATGTTGCCTGCATGTAGCATTTGGGTGGTGAACAAATGGTAGTTACCCAAAATAGGGTGACCCCCAAAAAGACCCCAACATATTACAATCGTCACCATTTGGGAGCCCCAAAAGCTACCCCCACTTCTGGCAAATCCCCAAATTTGTTTTCCATGCAGGCATTCGCGCATGTCAGTTTAGGAATGCGAATAGTATACCCTTGTTCCGCGCTACCCACCAGGAACTTGTGGGCCCATCCCTCATTTGCAGCACACTGAGGGGTCCCTGGGTTGCTAAATGAGAGAAAGATGCGGTTACACAACGGACTAGTACACCAGGGCCCTAGCATAGAGCATTTCAGAGAAGCTCACTTCGACTATTTCAAATTGTTTATGTGCTTATGGCGTTCCATGCTGTTTTGGGAGAGGGCACGCATTGAGCAACTTAAGCTGTGAGAAATGCACGAATCTCAAAAGCCTTTCTGAAGGCATGGCGTCGCAAAGCGATTCATGGAGGCATGCCGGTTTTGCTGAGGTAAGGGACGTTGTCGGTATCTTTTTCGTGATTGGCTTAGCACCCGACATAGCCACCTTAAGTGACTTTTCACCGACAAACTTTCGGACAGAGGTATGCCAAAGCTCACAGGAAGCCTTCGTACATGGATGACAGGAAACAAAACACTCCACACCTTGAAGCGAAAACCATCGCACGAAAGCCATCTTCCCTGCAGAGCCTATCAAGCTCCAGGGATAAGTAGGGTTACTATAAAGTCGATGTTGACAGACCCGGTGGGGTCTCCAAGGTTTGGGGGCTCATGATGGATTCCGGTTGCGGAGCGGGGGCTTCGGTTTGAGGATGTAGGGCTAGGGTTAAGAGGCCCAACATGCAATAGGGCCCCTTGGTATATTCTAAGAGAGGTCAAGCCTCACCCTACCTTGAAGTTCCGAAGTTTGACCCAAAGGGGTTTCCAAGACTCTTTTGGGAAGGCCACAGTATTTTGGGGTACATAAGGGCGCCGCTGTCATTTGGAAATATGCAAGTCTCAAATTGCCGTGGTCCCGTATACTTCCCAAAACAAGATAGGGGTCTCACTACAAAGATCCCCTCAATTGAAAGCCCCATTTTTGAAAAACAAAATAGAGCCACCATGTATCCCCCGGTGGCCCTTGTATGCTTTTGATAGACAGCCCGGGAATATCTAGCGGATCAACTCATGGTCCTTGCAAAGTCACTGCAGATCTTCCATCGCTAAATGACTTGTTGCTTACTGGCTCTTAGTCGGGAATATGGGAATACATTATATAGGGATTCTATTATTCCTTTCTTACTAAGCACCCGTAAGTCAATTACCTTTTGTTGATTCTTGCTCAAGGCCCAAAGCCCTCAAAGCTAGAACCCAAACTGAAAAGCCCAAACCCTAAAACCCCAGACCCCAAGCCCAAACTTCTAAACCCTATACCCCTAAATCCTCAACCCTATATATCCCTATAGAATATTTCAAACCCTATGCCAGGCCCTGTCCAGCGTGGGCGTGAACGTGATCTTAACCTCGCAGGGCTCCTCCGAGCATTCCATCACCGTCCTTTGGCTGCCGCGAGAATCCTTCTTTGGGTTATAAGTTTAGGGTTACAGAAACTAGGAGGGCTGGGCATGGCGGAGAAGGGCTTAAGGATGGGGAAGGCAAGGGACTTGGGTTTAGGGTTTGGGGCTTTTGGTGTTAGGTGTATTTTTCGGATATAGGGTGGAACCAGAACCAGAACCTCAGACAGATCTTTCAAGCTTTATAGTATATCAACCGAAGCCGAGGACATTCACTAAAGAAAATGAGAGACCATCACTGCTCCAGGTGGCCGTGGCGGACACAGACGGCAAGCTGGCAATGGAAGCCGTGGAGTCTGCGTAACTTGTCCTTGGGGATTATTGTCTCGAAAATTCGGCATGGCCTGCACAAGAAAGATAGATGCTTGAGAGCCTCCACATTAGGATGGATCTTCTGGTGCGCTGCTAATTCCTGTGGTTGGGAATAGCCTCACTGAAGCCGAGGTGCCCCGAATCAACGAAATCAAAGTAATCGGAACTTACCTAACAAGGTTTTAAGTCCAAACCTCGCGTGCAGGTTTTCAGCATTCTGCCATGCAGAGTGTAGAGCTCTCATTAAGTTTGAGAAGTATAGGAAGTGCGAAATAATGGGTCAGACCTTCGACCGACTTAGACGGCAAATCTTCCCTTCCGGCTTCATTCACGATTCGTTGTCCGAAGCCGCAGCATTCTTACACTATCAGAAAAGTGATATTGGCTACCCAAGCGCCGAGAGATAAGGACCCTAAGACTAGATTTATCATGGCTCTTTAGGGGGGTCTGGGGTTGGGGTAACCAGATCCCTGCATTGATTTTGGTAGGGTTTCTTTTTGTAAGGATGTGTCACGCGCAAACGCTTCCCAGGATTCCTACTAGAAGGCTCAGTGGTAGTTACACTGTGGGTTTTAATCAGGATGATTGAGATTATGCCTGACTTTGGGAGCAAAAAGCCCCACTCAGACCCAGACCTACTCAGTATGTCTGGCTCTGAGGTTCCAGCTTGAGATAGCGCGGAACGCCGAGACGCGCGTCACGATGTTGGAAGGCCCCTGGAATTGAGGATCGTTTGCAGGAAGGGATAGCAAAGGCTGCTTTATGTATAGTTCTCCGTTAAATAGACAGAATATGCGGTATATACGGGGTATATAGTAAGAAGGAAGAGAACATGAAAAACCACTGTTTAGGGTTTAGCCGCCCGTAAGTAGATAGACTATGGGGTATATGGGGATCTTATACTGGTCTTGGGGAATTCCACGTTCTATTTACTTAAGGGAGGCTGTACTGACAAAATGGGTTATACTGGATCCGCCGCCTTCCTATTAAATTCGAAGGCACATAAGCGCGAGGATCTCTTGCGTCGCGAGGTTTCAGCAGCTTGAGAAATCATTGCTAGGGGGATACTGAGACTTGTTGTGGACTCTGTTTTGACTGGTTGGCTTGGCATGTACATAGCCTTTTCTTTGTGATGAGAGGGTCATGGGGAAACTGCTAGCCTGCACTGGGATTCAAAGTTGAGGGCTTCTTGGATTAGCCACCGTCATCGTACAGAACTCCAAGGGAATCTTCTACATACTCCCTGTACATTCTCCATGTTTCACTATAGGGCCCCAAGGGTGACTCCAGCAGAAACGAAGGTCCTTTATAGAGGGCCTTATGACAAGATTCCGTTTCTGGAGCAGAGAGTTGCGCAAACTGCCCTGGTCGGAATTGCAGTCGACGGTCCTTGTTATCTAAAGGCCCCTTCCGGAGGCGTAGAGCAGAACTGGTAGCGGCACAGCCCAAGATTCTCAGAGCGCATTGACATGTTTGAACAGCCATGATTTTGTATAGCGGCCGCAACCTGAAGTAGTACAGCTTCAGTCTGTGTCCGTTGCGATTCCGCTACTCACTAAAACCATGATGTGGGGTTTTGTTTGCAACCGCCATCTACTCAAAGTCGCAGGATCCTCCCCGAAAAAGGGGACCCAAACGGAGCCTAAATGCTGGAGTAGGTGTCGAAAATGCACCAGAGTGGCACGCGTGTCTTTGAGAGCGCTGAGGCCTGAGCATCCTTGCCGTGATCGGCGAGGGAATGACGCCAGGCTATTGTTCAGCTCGCATTGTTGGTCGCGGAGAGCCACATCTACAAGGTTGATATAGCATGTATTATATACATATATGTGTATACATGTGCTGATATTATGAATGTCACGCGTGGAGTTGGTTGAGCATGTTAGGGAAAAGGATTTTTTTTTTTTTTCGGCAGGGGGAGTGCTTCCAATGTTTTTTTTTCGAAAGCAGCCTCTTCGATCTGGGAACCTCAACAAAAACGAGGCCCCGTGTTGTCCGTTTAGGTTCCTTACTTACCCTGGGTCCCCAAGCCCCCCACCCCTGCCAGACCCCATTGTGGGAAACTTCCAAGTTGATAGTTGTATGATGAAGAGTTGGCAGAGCGTTCTTGGTATGAACGGTTGCTTTGCTTGTTTGCTGGAATGAGCTAGGGCTTGCATAATTCTAGCTAATAGTCTAGCTCGGCTGCACCTCTTGCAAGGAAAATAGTGCCAACGGATAGACCTCACTAGGCTTTGGCTTTCTCACGACACCTTGCCAAGGAAGAACTCCACGGGAATCTCGGGACGATTCTTCAATGCCCTGGGGAGGTCAAAGGCGGTCTCTTCTTGCTGACCCGCTCGGGGTGCAGTTAGGTAAGGATGATGGAAGACATACATGATGTAATGGTATAGAGGGTTTAGGGCTTAGGCTTTAACGCGTGTACCCGGCGTAGACTTGCACAGGGGGTCCCTGCTTGTGAAAGGGCGTCTCAGAAAGTAGGCGGTTCCTTCCTTTCTGAGGGCTAGTCTTCTGTGCCTGGCTAAAACCCAAAATCGTAGCTTCCACTTTCTTTTCTATTGTCCCTATACAACCCCTATATTACCCCAATGGTACCATTTTGATTTTAGCGTGTGGAGTAGGGATTGTTGTATTCCAGGATCTTGGAATAGAAGGGCGTTTGCATATGCTACGGGTTGGTGCAATCTTCTGTTTTGCGTTGCACAATGTGGCCTTGTGAGTTTCGGCCGGAAGATTGGGTTTCCTAGACCCTGGAACACCATGTAGTGCAGGAATTACGAGAGAACTATGTCAGAGGCTGCCGGCAAGATTCCATTGCTCCGCAGTACACATATCAAAAGTCGCCTCGGAGCAGCAGCCACGCAACGCCCAACTTGAAATCTGGGAGACCAAGACGCCCTAGAATTTGAAAACCCGTTTAGAGCTTCAAATATTGAAGGCTTGGATGCAAGGATGCTAGGCAGTTGAATTTATAGTGGCTGTTTTTGTGCTGTATCGATCAAGGGCCGTCTTACGTTGGACTCCCCTAGAGTACCAACGTTTTGACAATTCTCCACATAGCAGCGCAAAATCAGGGGCTCAAGAAGGTATAGCCGAAGCAGGTGGAGTTCGTGCAGCCAAAGTGCTCCAAGAAGGGGTCCTTCACTTTCCTTACATGCTTCACTGACTATCTTACAGCCTTAAGCCCTAAAGATGCAACCTCCAAAGCCTGCACGTCAGACTAGAAACCCTGTGGCTCCAATAAATGGGTAGTTTCCCTAAATCAGGGGACCCCAGTATAGAACCCCAATGGACTATACTGCTTGTTACGGGGAGCACCAAAATGGTACCCCTATTTTGGAAACAATAAACCCTAAACCTCACGATTCCCCTGTATCCCCTTCAGAAGGTACCCAAGATTTTTTTGTAACTCCAAAACATGGTGGCAGGTAAACATCGTCGCCATCGCGCAAGGCTCCTCTGAGAGAAACATCTCGGCCGTGGTGAGCAGGCAATTAGATTGCTTGACGGATGGTCCAGTTCATCTACAGGGTTTACAGGGTTTTGGTTGAGTTTGTGGAGTTTTGGGGGTTTGCTTTTTTGGGGGGTGGTGGTGTTGCGGGGCTGGGCTTCTGAGGGAGAATCACCTTACATTGAGTAGGGGGCAAAGACTACTAAACTGTACGCATTTGGGGTGCCAATCATATGGGTAGGGTATAGTTTATGGATTTGGGATGACATCCTGAATGGTCAGCAAAGCTGTTACGGCTGTTCCCCCTACATTGGGTGTGTGTGTGCCTGTGTAGGCAGAGGCTGCATTGCACAAACAAACTGTTCAAACTACCTGGGCAAAATCAAGCAATGTACCTGGCCTCACCCTAAGTGGTGGTTTATGAGGAACAGTTGTCCCAACATGGTTTCGTTTTCTGCTCTCAAACCGTAGCATTATTCAAATCTAAGATCAACCTCTTCAACTCCCTAGAGCAAGGTCCAGGGTGGCATGTGTGCTATGGTCTAAATTCCTTAAAGGGGATTATATGGGGGAGTACTGTAGGGGTTATTAAGGGGGATATAAGGAGTTTAGACTATAGCTCATGTGTTGAAGTATTCAAGTCCAGGAGGTGACCTAGAAAAAGCCAAGGTGAAGGTGTCCTCATGTTTGCTCCTAAAACCAATGACAACATTTTCTCTCCTAAATCCCAAGCCCGAGGCTCATAAATCCAGCAGAAGCCCTAAACACAAAATGTTCCGACTTTCGATCTGAAAGGCTCCAGGCTATCTAACGCCTTTGGGCTTTTTTGTGGTATTTGCAAATTCGGGGCTTTGAGCAGTCATGGGAGCAATTATGTCGCTTACGATTACAGAGCCAATTTAAGGTTTGGGGTGTAGGGCTCAGGGAAGCAGACCGCACATCACCAAAGTCGGCAAGCACGGCAAATCAGCATGTCGGGATTCAGAGGCCTCAAACAGTGACATGCTTGTTCCAGTAGGTACACGAAGTGAAGGTATTTGAATGATATGTCCTACAAGTGTTGGCCGCAGTTTTGCATGCAGGTAGGTGACATGAGCTACAGAGATCTTTAGCGCTACCACCTCAAGAAGTCACACAGGGACCAACCCAACAGTCCCTAGGGCTTCCTCAAAATCAGGGTAGATTGGGGGACCATGCGGATATGTCGAGGTTCTAGGGGTCCCCTGTCAGGAACAATCAAGAGGTCATGTTAAGCAATCCCTGTTTTGTTTTGGCAGGCCTCTCCGTCCAGGTGCCGGGGGAAACCAAAAAGGGGATCTACATACATAGGGGGACCACAATATAGACCCCAAGCTACTAACGATAATCCCTTATTATAGGGATCCCCACAAAGTTACCCCTATTTTCGGGCAACCTTCAAATTGCGCCTGCTATCCACAGACCTACAAGCCGCACCTGGACCTTGCATACCTTCCGTGCTACTACGAATTTTCAGGCAAAAGCCTAAAGATTTGCTCCCATAGGGTCAGTAGACACCCACCACCCTTAACCCTCAGCCTACATCCTAAACCCACCACCATAAGCCGCCAAACCACTAAAACGCGCGAATTCCAGGGAGGAGCTTTCCCTTGCATTGCGCGCCACACACGACGCCTTTTTGATGAAGGAGTCCACAATCTCCGTGAGTCCTGCGGCCGCAACGTTGTAATTGCGCTCACTAAACGAACATGGAAGCTCCAAAAGGGTCCTAGAGGTAGTACTGTCCTTGTCCAAGGAGACACTCTCATCCATGTTTGTGTCGGGCATGGTACGTGGCTTTAGGCAGTTGCGCATGTGGAAGTGTGGGCAGAACCTGTTTTTTTCTTTGCCGCGCCCTCGCGCAGCGACGGGTCGTTGTTCTGGGCTTTGGGTTTGTTGAGGGTGCCCACCTGGCAAATTTGCACAAATTTCCTGTGCCAGCTGGTGCACCAGAATGACGCATAATTTCTGCCGCAGGTTTCAGGTTTAGGGTTAGGGTTTATAGGGTTCAATACAGGACCGATTCATCAATAATTTTGGGGGGGCCTATAAGTTCCACCAAGGTTAAGCTTCTTGCAGGTTCGGAGCCAAGTGCTGTTTGCCTGCACTTTGGTGAACTATCCTCGTGTGCTCTGAGTACCCCACGAATCGCAAGTTCTCGACATTACCACAAAGGATCTTGAATAGGCACCTCCATCATGAAAATTTCTGCATGGGGTCCCTAAAAAGCCTCTGAAGCTACCCAACTCTTGATCTGCAAATCTGTTAAGCAAATCTTCTTACTTCCTGCAGATACCAGAACGAATATCTTGGAGCTGGATACGTCCCATCAGCCCGATCGCTGGTGGCCTACACCTTAGTCTCTAGGGCTAGGCCCACAACTCCCAAATGTTAAATGTGATCCTAACCCTGCCAGAACCTACAAATTTTCACATGGCAAAAGCATTGTAAACAACAACTCTAAACTTCAAACCTCCTCACCTATGCGGTTCGAAGGCGTCGTGGGCGGTGGCGAGATCGGCACTGCCTTTGTGCGGCAGCTGGTGTCTTGCATGCATGTTTATTCGTCCCCAGATCTCTGCTTTAACGGGAGTTTTTTTCCGGAAGGCTGTGGTTCTGTAATTTTTTTCCAGCTGTCCCCATACAGTGGTTACCCCTATCTCACACACCGTCGCCTACAAGGGCCTACCCTCCCCACTCCCTTTTTCCCCCACACTTGCTGGGTATACTGGGGCTCTCTCAAGGTTAGATGCGATTCTGAAGAACCTCATCATAAGGCGCCCAATGCATCTGAGAGCCAAGACAAGAAAATAGTGGAAGTAGTGGGAAGACTGAAAACGAGTAGTCATTAGTCATCGCCACAGCATCATCAGCACTATAAACCCAGTTAGGGAACCTTGAGAAACACACGTAAAGCACCCTTTAACCTAACTGGGAGCCTCGCAGAGTTAGCCCTACAGAATTCTTGAGATGGAGCCCCAGGGTCCCTCTATGTGTTTAGGGCTTAGGGTATCATTCTCCCTGAAGTGTTTTCTGCAACCCCCAGACCCCAGCATTGAGTCTGAAACTCTAACACCCTAAGTCGAAAACCAACGCCCCCCAAGGTGCGATGGAACACCGACGAGGGACGAGATTTCGACCTCCCCTCTCTCAGGGAAGTTCAGCAACCCTGGCTGCTTTCGAGACGTTTTTTTTGGGCTATACGTATAATTACACACATATATATATATAGTCATATGCATATACATATATAATGTGAAAGGAAGAGTTGCCGTACTAAGGGGTCCTCTTTGAGGGTCCCTATAATTAATGAGGATCATAGTACATACTTTGGGGTGTATACGAAGGACCCCGCGTCTTTGGAAATGCTCGTGTATACTGTTGATGGAAAGGTTTTGCGCCACTTTGGGTCTCATGCTTGTGGTATTTCCCGGTGTTTGGTGTATGAACCACGCCGCAACATGTCCCTCTCTAAGAAAAGCATTTGTGTTGCTGGTGGTGCTGTGTTACAGCGCCGTGACTATCTGTTGCAGTACTGGAGCTTGTCATGAGCAGCATGCTTATCCTCATCCTGCAAAGAGTATGGTCAACATTCAGCTTGATGTGCTTTCTGTTTTTCTTTTTTTGTCAACGTCCCGTTTAGCAGTTTAGCGTTCGCAACGAAGCAAGCCTCCCTAAGTTCCAAGTGCCCCTTTGTTCTGCGACCTTTATGGAGCTGAGGTATTTGAACATCGACCTCCGCTCCTTCTGCGACTCGAACAAGATGCTTGCCTTCTCTTCGGCGTCATCTTCATTTGCAATGGGTGGTTTTTTGAATACATTATCACAAAATCAAGACCGGTTCATACACTGGCTTTTCTTCGTGCTGAGTTGCGTAGTCGCCATCCTCCGCTAAGCAAGCTCCTTCCCTGCTCCGAATGTCCCGTCTTAGTGTTTGCTATGCTGACATTGAGGGTCCATGTACCCCTATCATACGGTTTGACCCCAAATTTGGCATGAAATGCCCAGCTTCTGGGTACTACACCTTCATGGTGATTGGTAAGAAGAAGCCTTCTCCTAGCACATATGCTCAAGCAAGGCCCGGGCACTGGGGAAGGTTCTGGGTGAACTACTAAGTGGTTTGATAGGAACCCAAAAGCATGCCACTGTCCCAAGCCACGAGCCAGCCCTAGGTCAAGCCGTAGAAGCGCATTTCAAGATTTTGGCTGGAAGCCCTGCAGACCCCAACATCTAAATCATGGACCCTACAGCCGAAAGCCCTATACTCTAAACCCCAAAACCCCAACCGTCCCCAAACTCTAAACCCCAAGACCCTGAACTGTAGGCCCTGAGAAACACCATGGGGTGTTTGTATCTAAGCCTTAGCTGGCCTGAGCTGTCACATGAGCTATAGTCTAAACTCCTTAGAGGGGGATATGCAGAGTTTAGGCTTCAGGGTCCAAACTCCTAAAGGGTGTTATGTAGGGGAGATTTATAGGAGTTCTTACGTGGGGTATTGGGAGTTTCGACTATGGCTCACATGTTTCAGCCTCCCTCAGATCCTCCACCATAGCTCTCACAGTATAGGGCTAACCATAGATGCACTGTCTTCAAGCATTGGTCTGAACATGCAGAAGCGTGCTTGCTTCAGAAGATCGGCACAGCCACGACCACCTTCACTGATTCGATCGAGCGCAGTCTCTCATGATCTTCGGATGAGGATTTTAGGGGTTCTCTGAAGCGATTTCTGCTGGGGACTCGGGGACCATTACGTGTCCTGTATGTGCACCTGAAATGCCCCCCAAGCCCCATCATTTGCAGCCTTTTGTTGCATCAACTCTGGCTGACTCAGTGTTGAGCTGCTATTTGAAGAAAAGTTCCTTGTGACCTTTCAGCCTCTCCCACTGGTGCTTTTACCCCCTTACCTCTCTATACTTCTGCGCCTCCATAGGGAAGCCCTACGGAGACTGCTCGAGGATGCTGCTGGCGCAGAAGGGCCTTCCCCTCTCCAAGCTCCAGGACAACATCACAAACGGCGCCTCAGCAGCGTTTCTAGGTTGGAGTGCCGGATGATAGGTTGTGTGCTGCACTTGCTCTCTGGGTGCACGTAGCCTCCCCCAAGCTGGGAGTTTGTCAAAACAACCCCGATATAGGTGCTAATAAGACCCTAGAACGCCCTCATTATCACCTTGTACCCCTAGAGAGCACAACCCCATAAGACTAAAAGCGGCAAGTCATCATCTTAGCCATGCCTAGCTGGGAACGGAGCAGAGAATATCATTGTCAGGCCTGCTTGCCAGTCTGGCAGTCATAACTAATGACATAATCAGTAGTACGAGTAATAATGAGATAGCTATGATGATGAAAACTGATGGTGGCAGTATCACTAGCACTACTTGTGTTAGCAGTAGTAAAACTTTCCCAGCAAGCATGGCCAACGCATTGGGGTCCCTGATCAACTCTGGCGTGTGGGCGTTGGCCTTTGTACCGATGAGTTTATGCAGTTTAATCGCATGCAGCTGTTACATGATGCAATGGCATTATGATCGTATGATTGCTTTGAAGAAGGGAAATACTAAACACCTGCTCAGGAGTCTTCAATCTGAAAGATATGGCAGACGGATGGGAGAAACAAGGCGCGGCCCCAGTGAACAGGAGTTCTTTAGGCTAAGATATGTCTACAGTCACGTGTCGTGTGAGTGGAGACTGTGGTTATCCTTGTGAGCTTCACCGTGCTAATTCAGGGTTGAAGGTTCAGGCGGCATCAGGGACAAATCCCAAGGAATGGGATTATTCCTCAAGATTACTGTCCGGCTGTCTGACATGACGCTGTTTTAGGCTTGTACCCAAAGGTTGCAAACAACAGTGTCTGTCTGTATGTCTTGCAAGAGCCATGCACAGTGCTACTGCGAGCAGCTTCGCTTGAGCCACTGCCACTATAGAAGCCTGAGCCATCATGAGTCTTATTCTCTTATGACCTTCACATGTGTAATTAGCGATGGTGGAAGCTACGTGAAAAGCATATAGGTCGGCCTCTGCATTGCTGCTCCTTCCCGCTTCTTCCTTCAATCTTCCTTCAGACTGCTCAACTGGTGTAAAGTTAGAGCCAGCTGTTGCCAAGGCTTTGCCGCCCAGACTTGAAAGCCCGCAGAAACGGATTGCCATTAAATTCCCCAAGCAACTCTTGGGGCTTTATCAAAACATGATTTTTCCTCTGGGGCGGAGCTGGAAGCTTGGGCTTGCAACCTGGAGCGTTTCATACGTTTGAAACCTCGGCATTCAACTGCTACGACTGCAAAGTCCTGGTTCAACTGCAGTCCCAAAGCCTTGTAATCACTGCTCTCCTGGAGGAAAGGCGGTTGCTGATGCATTGACGGATGGAGTCCAGATGCAAGACACTGACGCTGGGTCGATGTTCCCTGAGTTAAGAAACTGTAGGTTAACTAGGGAGGATTTAGGTTCGCTGGTGTTGGGTCTGAAGTTCCGTGATTGTCAGGTGATAAAACACTGGCTAGCTTCCATAAATACGGGTACCCCAATATAGATCCCCTAAATATTAGAATCCTGATTATAGGGCCCCTGCAACTACCACCATGGGCTATTAGACCCTAAAATTCCCTAATAGGACCCTATTAAGGGCAGATTAAGGTACCCTAAAGGTCTAATAGCCCATAATGGTAGGGAATCATCGCACTGGTGCGGCCTCGGAGCGCTGCTCTGGGGGGGGGTCTTGCGGACCCTCTAGAGGCCTGAAGAGAAAGAAAAAAAGAGAGCGAGATAGAGAGAGAGAGAGACAGAGGGAGTGCTCAACGGCTCTGAACTTCGGATAGTAGAATTCGGAATCCTAAAAAACTGACTTGCCGTCACCCTGACCCTTAAGCCCAATCCAAGTTTTGGCTTGAGCGTTTAGGGCCTTAGGTTTCAAGAAATTGTGCAGAACTTTGAGCTTTGGACTTGGGGCTTTGTCTGTCCAGGGTGTACAGCTTTTAACCTGGGAGTTGTGTGGGGCTTTTGAAGTTTTAGGGTGTTCCCTATTATATTATAGTAGTTTCCATTTTCTTTTCCATCATCCCCCATATAACCCCAATATTACCCCCAATATACCCCAATATAACAAGGATGATGTAGCGCTTGGGGCTCAGCCATGCCTTCCGCTCAGGACCTGGATGATTTCATCAAGTTTACAGACTGCAAGGAATACCCCCACAAGGTGCTACAGACTGCCTGTGGCATGCCATTCTCAAGACCACGCGACGCTTTTGGATATCCTTGTTATATTGGGGTAATATTGGGGTTATATGGGGGATAATGGAAAAGAAAATGGAAACGACTATAGTATAATAGGGAATATATTGGGGTATCGGGCATCAAGCAGCTGTAGAGTACACTCATGAAATTTGGTGTTGATGCTCACGCATGTTCGGATTGAATTGGCAGCTGGGGTGGTTATCGGCCTTGGGGTAAGTGCTTTGTGAAGGAAGATTTCGTCCAGTAAATGAGAATTCTGAGGCTGATGAAGCTTTTTCGTGCTACCACCTCTAGTGCTGTGCCAACAGCTTTCGAGTACAAAAACGGCTTCGATTTTTGAAGTTTCCCATCCAACTCCCTTGCCACTTTGGATCCGTAATGAGGACTGTACCCGTGCTGGGGTCATACCAGGCGACTCTCTATTGTTGGGAACGCTACAGGTACTTGACGGTATCATTTGTTGTTTTCAGGCCCACACGGGAACAAGATTCTGCTCGCTTTAAACTTTAAAGCTTTCAGAACTGGTGTGTGCACTGACTGCATTTTGTTATTCCTGAACTACAGCTGATGTCGAGCTAGGGTGTGAATTCTCCAGTATTACCTACCTCGTGGAAGCAAGCCCTGTAGACTGCGCTTCCGCCGTTCCAGCAAAAGGCGAGCTTATGTTCATGGACTTCACGGGTCGAAGCAGACGATTTTGAAGCGCTTCAGTTGTAGGTTACGGCCCTAAACCCTAAGCCAATCCTAAAATCGTTCTGGCTAGGTGATTGTTGACTGCAGCAGCTCTACAGACATTGCCAGCAAGTTGCTCGGCTATTCATTGTGTTCTGACCTCAAAACGTTGCGGGCGTAGATGATAAGCCGATCAGCGCCCGGGCGGCAAACGAAAGCGCCGAAGCGCTAAGTGAGCATGATTACTACTATTTCTGCTAATTATTACTATTACTACTGTTATTACCATTGCTATTATTCATATTATTCCTCATAGTATTACTGTTATTATTATTTCTATGTTCCGTAGCAGCCGAAGTTCAGGTCTGACGGACTGTCAGCATTGGGGTATCTGGGGATAATGGTATTGTTAGGGGAGATCTAGGGGTTATGTAGACGTTATGTAATGCTACCATGGTGTGTTGCTTATTGGTGCGGAAAACAACATGCTGTTGCCACACCCTACTCAGGTTGCGAGGATTGCGCCACACAATCCTTCTCTTCTGCTCTGGCAAAAATCCTTTGTACACACCATTCAAAAGCTGCCTCGCTTGGTAGAGTTGCTTTCGCATTTGAACCCCCACGCAGCTTCTCCTGGCAAACAAGTCGCTGCACCCGGGCACTTACTTTCCTGCAGGAAGTGGTAGCTTTTGGTGCTTGAGTAGTATCCTACACAAATAGGCATCCAAGAAGCGCAACCCAACAGCAGCCGCTGCTTCAAAAGATTTCTTTGAGAAACTCTCAGCTCATGTGCACAGGTATCCTGAATGGTTGAGCCGCGGCTTCCACGCCTGGACCTTACACTCCCTGCGACACAAGTGTCGGGGCTAAGGAATCCTTGTCTTGGGGTGTGTTGAGCAGGACCAGTTTTCAAGTTCAAGAGATGCCCAGATGATATTTTTGTACAATTTGGCTGCTAACTCTCCTCCAGATCCCGTGCTTCTCATGACATGGGGCGTCGCGAGTTTGATGCAGATTGCTTATTGTCAAGAATCATGTGCAGGGCAGGGTGCTCTCCCAAGCACAGGACTTCAATATGTATGTACAACAAGTCAAACAATAGTCTCCACTAAAGTGATGGCTTGAAACGACTTTGCCCTACACCCTATAAACCTTAAACCATAAGCAACACTGGCTCGGGGTCTTAGGATTGTGATTGGGGGGTGTAGGGGATGAGGTCCTACGACCTCATGCCAAAGGACTTGGGGAATCGATTCATGCTGTTCCCGCCCATGCCTAGCATAAGTATGCTACACCCAGCGCTTGAGGCATATTCTGATAATTTAGGATCCCGCGCTATCCTAGCTTACTACGCTACCCTAAGCTCACTGGTGCTGCCGGGGGCGTATGACTGTCCCTGTGCCATCCCCACATGTACGCCCATCATTATACGGACTGTGCCTAGTACTTGCATTCACTCCCCAACTCCTCCTTTGGGGACAGGAAGTAAACTCGTAGACCAAGAGCCTTCCACCAAGAAGGGTGATCTGTGAATATTGGGCGGCCTTTTCAATACGCTGAATCTCATCCCTTCCACCTTGAGGTTTAAGTGCCACCCAGGCACACCTCAATATTACACGTGTCGCCAAGTATCTGAGCTACCGCAGGGGATACTTGATGTGGGGACGGGGGAGGGTGTTAGCACCAGGGAAATGGTTCATGGAGAAGATTACCCCTTTTAGGGGTTTTCAGGCAGTATAATCCCGGTCAGAATCGCTATTGGGAGATGGAATGAGGAAACAAGGCTCTTGATATTCATAAGGGGGCAGCGCATATGAGAGCAGCTCATCTTGAAGCTATGTAGCCTACTACACTAACCCCCAAGGTCAAACATGAGGAGTACCACAGCAAAAACAAAGCCAAAACTCGCAAGCGCTCCCAAGGTAAGTGAGTTTATGTATAGTACCCAAAAGGGGATATAGAATCTCCCTTGAGTACCCCCTGCTAAGGTCATTACTCCAAACAGATCCGCGCTGGTCGGGCCATACTCGCAGTATCAGGATTGCTTACGGCAAGTGGGGACGCCTGCCGGAAATTTTGGGATTTCAAAGCCTTTTCTCTTGAATCTCCGAGCCATGCCCCCAAAGCGCCATTGACTATGGCTCTGCCGCTTCAGGAAGTCACGTTTCTACATGCAAGTCAGGGCGCCATAATGAAATCTGCAAAGATGGCAAGCCAGGCACACTTGACATTGACTCGCCTGTAGCTCCTACACGATTATTCAAAAGGCTTTGGGAAGGTCCGAATAACTGGCTTACCATTCCAGGAAACTTAAAGAGGAAAGAACCTTTTCTTAATGAAGGCCCAAAATCTTTGTTTTACTGTTTGTTAGCGGGGGATAAAAATGACATATATATATATGTACATAATATATACTGACTATATAGAGACTATATTCCCATATTTCCTGCTAAGAACCTCCCCCTAAAACCTTGCTGCGTAGATGCCACAGCAGAAACCTGTCGACAGCATGTGGTTTTCATGGTTTCGCTCTGGCAGCAGACAGCCCTAAGCCTCCCTGTCCTGTTTACATTGTGAGGATTACAGTGGGACTTGCATCAGGGTTCCACGGATTCCACGGAAAGCTATGGGCGATTTGGAGTTGGACTTGGCAGGGCTGAAGCCAAACAGAGGATTCTGGTAGCATTGGTGCTTGTCACAAGTCTGAATGGAATACACCAGGCTGGAAATGAGTATGTGCAACCCGTAAGTTACCAGCCACGTGCGCAAGGCTATAGTGCAGGATCAAGAATCAAGACCAATCGCAGGCTCAACTTGATCCTCCACCCAAACCCGAAACCTGAATCCCTGGGATCGCCAGAGCCTGGAAGAATTTAAAGTTGATACCTAACTCCTGCGCTGTTTGTGCTTCCCAAGGAAGAGGGGCGCTGCTCAATTCCGCTATGATGCCACGGCGCGCTAAAAGGGTCTGGGGGTAGACCTGGGGAGTCGAGGGGTCCCGTTTGGGGACCCCTATAAAGAGGAATATTGTACTTTGACGTCTATATTGGGGTCCCCAACGGACCTAGGAATGAGTGTTTCGTGTTGCTTTGCGGCTCAGGGCTTCGGGATTCGGAGCATTTTCTCGTTCCTCTCGACACCCTTCTGCTTCCCCAGTGCCTCCGAGGGCTGGGCTTCGGGATTCGGAGCATTTTCTCGTTCCTCTCGACACCCTTCTGCTTCCCCAGTACCTCCGAGGGCTGGTACTGAACATATGGAGTGGGACCTCAGAATGGAGAGCCAAATGGAAAAGAACAGGGAATAGCATTAAATGTTGACAGTCCGAAATGTAAAGTTTGACTAGGGCAACGGGTGGTTGCGGGTGTGTTTGTCGCCCACGCTTTCGTTTTTGCTGGGGGTTCTTTGTCAATGCCGCCGGTATCCATAAATCCTAGGTCCTAAATTGAATTTGCAAACATTAGGGCCCTTTGCTGGGAGTTTTTTTCTACGGATTATCATATATTGCGTTCACTGTCGTTAGCCCACTGTTGATTCTTACATGCTGAGCCATCAAGCCAAGCCGAAAGCACGTCAACATCTCCCGGTTGGGGTGTGTGGCATGCATTCTACCTGCAGTCACTGTACTGATACTCTGCGATGGCACACCGGGCTTGGGTGATGACAGGGTTGGAGGGCCCAGGTCAAGCGCCTGACTTCTCGGAGCTTCAGGTGATCAACTTACTGCTTGGGTTGGGGATTTGAAATCCATGTAATGACTTTGCTCCCCTACTCCGTCTGACGAAGGCACCGATCAGCCAAATACAGCCGAGGCCTTCTGCCCCATTGAAAAGCAGCATGTGTCTGTGGTGGACCCCTTATCGCCCGCGCCAGGCTAAGCCCGAGGAGGTTTTCATCATTCCCTGCTTGGAACCCGTAGTAGGGACCCCGGAACCTTTCTTTGATCCCCGTATTCTATAGCCAGGGACCTGACGAACGAAACCTAAGTGTCAAGTGATACATCCCGCAAGGTGGGAGGTCAGATTCCAATTATCACCTTGCTGCAGGACCTGTTGCAAACAGGCGGGGCTTGGGGTGGGGTCAGGGAAGACGTCTCGAAATTGTAAGTTTAGTTTCAGCCCATCGTGGGACATGTGTTGGCAAGGGTAATCCACTGTTACAAAAACAGCCCTTGTAGTGGTGAGGAGAAGTGTTCAGCGGCACTGACTGAGTTTTGAGGGGAATTCCTTTCTACAACTGTATGCCACACGTGCGTATATTGCCGGGGGGGTTTAAGGATGCTAGGGCGCATTGAGTTTAGATGGCTGCAGGACACAATGCTGGCTGGAATCTAGGAATGGCTGCGATTGTCAGGATTTTCAGCTTGCTCTGTGAGCAAAGGGGAGGAACGGAAGCCTGAGTTGGGGCATTGGTTCTAGGGCTTACTGGGTTGTTCTTAAGAAGGTAGATGTAGATAACGAATTATTCACCACTATGAGGGAGTCGTATCATATACTTGATACCCATACTGTTCCTAACTTAATGTTAAGTTCCTTAACAGCAACCTAGCTTAGGTTCTCCAAGTTGCTCGCAAGGCTGGAGCTTCCTCACAAGTTTTAGCTAGGTGTTCAGCTTCAATGTTTCCGCTCTTGTGCTGGAGTGTCGCTTGAACACCATGGCCACGTTTCTGTGCAATTGAACCCCAACATGCGCTGAACATGTTCATGTTGTGTTTTTAAAGAGAGAGAGAGAGAGAGAGAGAGAGAGAGAGGGAAGCGAATGTAGAAGCCAGAATAAATGATTATGTATGGTCAATTGTCTCTCGCAAGGCTATGCCAGTGTACGGGTTGATTACAACAGGGGCCAGGGCAGGGAAGCTCGGGCTAAATCATATGTAGTATGGGGTTTTTGGTAAACCCAAACCCTCAACTGAGGACCCTCTGGCAATTATGGAAGGCTCTAATTTTGGGGTTGGGGTTTACCAATATCCCGGTCTTATGAATGATATATGAGTTTCTCAAACAGAACGCCTTCGCTGATGCCAGGGATACAGAGGATTTGTAAGAAGATTATGGTTTTCTATCAGTGACTATCGCATGGATTATAGATTGATTGTTCTCACAAACTCCTATATGTTGACGTTGATGTCTTCTCTA